AGATGCTAAATTCGCCTATCATCAATGATTTCATCATGATACATCTTTAAGAATTTAAGCACTTCACGGAAATCAAGTTAATTAAAGGCTAAGTTTAGGGCAAGCCAATAGTTTTTAACATGATTGCAAATATCGTGGAAAGGAGCATTTCACATAATATATCGAGTTATCATGTCCTGCTTAACAATTAAGAGATATTAAAAATAACATGACAGCAAGGCAACTTCAGAAATTGTGAGTTCGGTAAAAGTAGAACATGAGCCAATAAGAAAAGGTCCCCAAATGAAGAAGTACCCCCTTTTGTGAGTAAATTGTTCCAAATTCTCAAAAGTTATCACAAAACAACTCATCCTTCTTTCTACATTTAAAAATAAAAATTAATTCCGAAGTTGGTTGAATCTCCAATGGTAACCCTACCAAATTTGTTTTAACCCATTCTCACATATCAAACAATGGGACTAGTTGTAGTATTGAAAGAATAGTATTGCTAGAATTAGTGCTTTACTCTAGAATAGGCGATCGGACTTTCTTGAACCGAATTTAGATTAATATAAACTATAATGGGACTAATTATCTAGTTCTGGTACAAAGTTAAAACACTAAGAGGAAATAAAATAAATGCCGTTGGCTTTCTGAATGATGGGCCCCCTAGTACTTGTGTCCCTGCTGCGGAAGATGATGGCTTTGATGGATTAACATCTACTAAATTTTGTTGACTTTTTTTGGCTTGCTGCATAAATCTAAACTGTGGATTCGAAGGAACACCGGCAGGATTGAAGCATCCCATTGTTTGACTACCAAAAACAAACTGAGACAGATTTGGGATTTGGTTCAAAAGTTGGCCAAAGCTCTGCAATTGGTTCTACAAAAAAAGTTGTTATTGTTGCTGCTGATGCTGCCCATTTGTCAAACCCATATTATTTTCACTAAGTTGTTGAGGTAAATTTAACCAATTGGGTTGATTTGGGCTCTACAAAGGGTTATTGAATTGGCCATGAAGTTGTTGGAACATTGAAACATTGTTCAAGTTTTGGAAAATGGGACCAAATTGAGGAACACCCAGATGGTTATTTTGTGAGGGAAGAATCAGGTTAGCTCCATTCCCGAAACCAACATTATTTAGCAAAGGCATAGCACTGGAATTATTACTCAATGGAATTGGCAGTTGAGGATTAAAAATAGCCATTTGAGGCTGCATCATTAACATGTTGTTGTTGCATTGGTTTTCCACTGCAGAACTTGATTGGAACCCCTGCTGTTTAAACAAAATCAAACCTATCTTCCAAATTTTCTCTTAAAAGAATAAGTACACAAAAAAAGTAAAGAAAGAAAGAAAAGTAAAAGAAAAAGAGGTACCCTAAAACGTCCGAGATGGCGACAGTACTCATGGTAATTATCATGATCGGCAAGACCTGACATCCAATGTAGACATGATTTTCAAGTGATAAATAGTGAAGGAAAAATTAAAAATTGAAAAAAAAAACATTATAGAATACAAAACACAGCCAGAGAACCTAGTTCCATTTCAAAGGACAGGAGTGCTTAAGAGTCATGCCATTGGTGTAAACTTCTTTAAAATCAACATGTCAATTAACCATTATTATTTGATTTCCAATGAAGCATATTACAATTAAGAAACATAAAAAGTGATTACTAACAAATTTTAGCACACAAAAAAACAAATATCATTAGAAAAATTCCATGCATGAAAGGGCTTACGCAAGTAGATTTTAGTTTAGAGTTGTTACCCATGTATACAGATCCATAAGTAGATAAATCCAACCTCATTTAAGTATTTTCCCAAATTGGCGATTCACACCCAATAACTAATATAGGGACCAATAATTCAGATCATCAGAGAAATATTTCATCCATCCAGATATCAGACATAAAAGTAAAAATTGCAAAATTTAATTCAACAGAGATTTCAGTACAAGGCAGGCATATCTTTGAAATCTATGCCTATGGAAGTACTTTCCCTTAAATTGAACCAATAGCCACAATAGGACTGAGTATCATTAAGACAACAAAGTAATTAAAACTTTTAAAAAAAGTAGCATACAAGCCAATGATACCTTGCTCTGATTGGAGAATTTCTTTGGTTCCTGTCATTAGATGGGCCAAAAACTTCGAACGGGCTGCCTGATGTGCAAATCAAGATTGTCTTCCAGATGTTAGTCTTACCTTGCATTTTGGTGCCTAAAAGAAAGGGTTAATAGTATGAATATAAGTTTGAGTTTAGCGAACCCCCGAATAATCAACAAGGAAAATTCAATTCAAAATGAGATAATGAGTTGAATTTACTAATTTCAATAGAGAAAAACAAGTTATGCTTTAAAACCATACATGCAACAGCACTACAACACACAATAAGAAATAATTGCAATCACTGAATAAATATATACAGAAGATGCAGTCAAACTTTAGTAATAGTCAATAAGATTTTTGTTCTTCTCATTCTTATTAGCAAAAAGTTCAAACTAAAGACCCA